AATAGAGAATTCCACCAAAACATACCTAAAATTTATAATCTAAGCAGTATTAAGATTTAGTGGCAAAGCAGTGAGTGATGTTGCTGAAAGCCATAAAGAGCACAACTAATGTTTTCAGATTGGACAAAGATGAGTTGGATTGATGTGGGATGCCCTTCTGTATGCTGTGAATATGTCTTATTACCATTGGTTAATAAAGAAGCTGATTTGGCCAATAGTCAGGAAGAATAGAGCCAGGTGAGAAATTCAAGCAAAGATACAAGGAAAAAGAAGGTGGAATTCTGGGAGATGCCAGCAGCCCCTGGGGAAGTAAGATGAGGTAACAAGCCACAACGCCTCATGGTAAAATATAAAATAACAGAAACGGGTTAATTTAAGTTGTAATATCTAGCTAGTAATAAGCCTGAGTCATCAGCCAAACTTTTATAATTAATATAAGCCTCTGAGTGTTTATTTGGGAACTGGCGAGTGGGAGAGAAACCTCCAGTTATATTGGATGGGTTATGTATATGTACATATATAAACGTGAGATTTTTATAGAGAAATATATTTTTTAAAACACAGATTATTACCTATTTAGAACTTTTTGCCATAATCCCTATGGTCTTTGACTATGCTCTTTACGAACATATGCTTTATGTCTTAACTAACAGATATATTCAGATATAAGAAGAAAAACTAAGAGGTGGGTAGCATGAGAAAATAAAAAAAGATTAAGATTATATTGGTAAAGAAATAATTATCTTAAATAAGATGTGATATAACTAAAAAGTACTTCCAAATTTATTTAACAAAGACGGTATAAACCTGATACCAGTGGATGGTAAATATAAGGAAAAGAAGGGAAAGGGCACAGAGTGGGGAAGGAGGATAAAAGCAAGAAAAAAAAAGCAATGTATTTTATTCGGGTATAATTGACATATAAATTATAATTGACATATAAATATTAAAGGTGTACAAAGTGATATTCTAGCATATAGTGAAATGATTACAGCTATGTTAACCAACATTTCACAAATCTGTATGTGATGAAAATACTGAAGATGCAATGTCACCAAAGTTCAAGCATATAAATTATTATTACTTGTAGTCACTATGGCATATTAGAACTCTAGGGCTCACTCAGTAAAAGGAAAATGGACAAACATTGGTTATATGACACCTGTAAATTTTCTATGTAAAGTAAAGTAAAGTCTCTATGCACTCCTGGTTGATCTTGAATCCTCTATATAGACCAGACTGGCCCTAAACTCACAAAGGTCTGCCTGCATCTGACTCCCAACTACTGGGATTAAAGGTGAATGTTATAACACACACACACATTGCTAAGTAGTCTTATATTCTCTGATGATGGTACCAAAAAGAAGATCCGTCACCAAGACTATTTTCCCTTAACTTGCAGAAGCAAGCATGCAGCGAGTTTGTTCTGTTCTTATAGAGTCACCTATGACAATTTGCTACTGACCTAGGTAAGTTTAAATTGAATTTTTTGAATTAGATAAGTTATTTAAATAACTTTTCAAGAATTTTTAGTCAACAGCCATGTCATACTGAACTTGACCAACCTCATTTGATCTTGGAAGCTAAGCAGAGTAGGGGCTTGCTTAGTACCTAGCTGGAAAAAAATTCAAGAACTAGATTCTCATTTTTCAGGATACTGTAAATTTTTCTTTCTCTGCATCCTAGATAAATTCAGCAACTCATAACAATTTCAAAAATAGGAAACAAAAGGATAAACAAATTTGTAGTTGACAGTAAAGGAAATTAAGCCCAATGATAGCTGGAGTAGAAAAATGTCATTTTACTGTTGTAGCTTTTCTGAGTACCGTGTTTATAGTGATGGTTCCGATGCAAACCTAGAACTGTAAAGAAGAACCTTCCTATTGAAAAGAATTTTTAAATGTTTACTTTTGCATTCTCTGTGAACACTGGAGTTTAGAGTTGTATACATTTTTAAAGGATGTCCAGTATTAATTACAGATATTGCCTAGAAATTCAATTGATCTATTTAGGAACAGAACTATTCAAAAGCACGGACCTTTTCTTTTGTAGAAAGGTCTTTGGAAGAATACGTTTTCCAACACACCCATGAAGTAGCCTGTGATGACACTCAGCTTACAGACCAGAAAGTTGTACAAATGGTATAAAGTCACAGCTCTTCAGAAGACATTTAAAATTTTAAATTAGGTCATGAATTCATGAACTGAAAATAAGTACACAGCTTTAAAATTTTCTATAACTGAAAAAGGCAAGGAGACTGATTTCGATGTTAAGCAAATATGAAAAGTGCGTACACATAAAATCAACGTTTTATTTGATTCAGTTTTCTTTTATGCAGACTTTAATTCATAATAAATTAATGTTTAAAAATAACTTTAAATATTGATTGCATGCCTCAAGACCCAGTAATACCACTTTGGGGTATATATCCAAAGGATGCTCAATTGTGCCACAAGGACATGTGCTCAACTATGTTCATAGCAGCTATGTTCATAGCCAGAACCTGGAAACAACCTAAATGCCCCTCGATCAAAGAATGGATAAGAAAAATGTGGTACATTTACACAACGGAGTACTACACAACAGAAAAAAATAATGACAGCTTGAATTTTGCAGGAAAATAGATGCAGCTAGAAAACATTATTTTGAGTGGGGTAACCCAGACACAGAAAGACAATTATTACATGTACTCACTCATAGGTGGTTTTTAAGCATAAAGCAAATAAAGCCAGCCTACAAACCACAATCCCAGAGAACTTAGACAATAATGAGGACACTCAGAGAGACTTATATAGATCTAATCTACATGGGAAGTAGAAAGTAGAAAAAGACAAGATCTCCTGAGTAGATTGGGAGCATGGGGACCTTGGGGGAGAATTGAAGGGAGGAGGGGAAGGGGAAGGTGGGTGGCAATAAAAAACAATAAAAATACTGATTGAGTGACTGATTATTTTAAAAAATCTTATCAAAAAATCTTGTCATGCAATAAATAACTTAAAATTGACAAATCTCCTTCATTTCCATTAATACTGTGCTTTATATCCCTTTCTCTGGCCTCACTAGAAGTGATTTTCTTTTTTTTCCCAAGTCAGACTTTCCCTTGGAGTTGAAAATCATTTTGAAATAGAGAACTTTTGGAAACTGAAACAGGATATAGAAATGCAATAGACGGGAGACACAGAAAAGTATCCAATATGACTGGGAGGTTCTAGGCTTGGTAAGCTAATCTGTCACACTGCCAGAAACTACAAGATTGTGAGCAGCAGATCTCTACACAAAGGGAAAAGGGAAGTGGTCAGAGCTCGTCTGAGCTACAGTGAATGAGAAGATTCACCAGGCTACCTGAGAAAAGCAGTCTGATGCGACCCAGAGATATGCGGCTGGAACTGGCTAAAAGATCTTCAGGCGAGGCATGAGTCATTAGGAGCATGAGATAGCTGCCCTAGTGTGTTTGCTGTTATAAATCTAGGGATAATTAGCATAAATATCACATTATTAAAAAACAAGGTAAGCATTAGGCACAGAAAGACGAGCACAATTCATGAAGCCCTGCCATTGCTGTCACTTGATACTAGATAATTACACTTTTCAGGGGGTGATTCAGAGGTGTGGTGCTGGGAGGAATACCTCCTGTCTGACAGGTTCTGAGCCAAGCAAATGCTTCATCACTTGAAAACCCAAATAACCTGAGTTGCGACCCAGAAGTAACTGTTTGCACCTTTTCGCACTGTATAGTAAAAACTACTTTACAGTTTAATCAGTCAGACATTTTCTTTTTAACTGGAGGACCGGCAGCTTACTTTTATATCATGCTTTTTTCACAAGACCACGGCCATCGAGTCATGACACAACATCGCAGCATGATGAAGTGATATACTCTTTGGACTTGTAGCTGTTGTACCCATAACGGAAGTGCTATACTTAAACTTTGTTTCCCTCAGATTCAGTCTCATAGTGGTTACAGAAATAAAACTCACTTACCATTGTACACTGTGGGCACCCACCTTGGTATCTACGACTCTGTCTATAGAAGTCATTTATGCAAATGTTAACAGACTGGTTATCATAGGGCAACTGAGGCATTTCAATCCTGTTTAAACTCTGTTCAAAAATGAAGGAAAGCCAAGGGGGTAAGGCAACATCACAGCTGCCAAGTCAACAGAAAGGTTTCGTTCATTATTGTAGCAAAATATACACAAAACTTGCCATTTTTAACCATTTTTAGATCAGTGGCATCACGCCCACTCTCATTATACATAACCATCGCCACCATCCGTCCTCCCCATTCATTTTTTTTTTTTTTATCACAAGCTGTTCAGAACTTTTTCTGCAACCCTGCTTTCGTCACACACAGCTTTAGCGCGCTGTTCAGTGTTCTGCTGGGACAGTGGGAAAGAGAGGATGAAGTTAATCAATGAGGGACTATTTCACGTGAGCTTATGTTAATGGAGTTTAAGATCTGAAAGCTTTTATTTAAATGCCATCAATCAAAAAGCTAATGGATCAGCATCCCCCGCATCGGCACAACCATATAGGAGCCCCGAAGGGGCAGCACGGACCCTCAGCAGCCTCCTTGCCTATTGCCCTAACAGAAGCGCAGGGGCCGGCTCAGCCTGGGCTGCAAGGAGAGAGGAAGGGAAGGAGAAAGCTTGACTCCAAGAGCAATCTCCACAGTCTTAAATTGACCTTTCTGGCCTCTTCGGGCTCCTCTAACTCTCGACCAGCGTTCCACACTGTCCCTCAAACTCGCACTTCAACCGGGCATGCGCTTTTTATTGACGCAAGCCTCCCGTTCTCGCGGGAACTCGGGAGCGCGAGCCGGGAAAGGAGACCAAATCTTGAAATCTCGGTTGGCGCCGGCGCGGCCACAGCAGCTGCTGCTCCAAGGGGGCGGGACGTGGAGTCCAAAGGGGGCGGGGCCTCGCTCCTGAGAGGGCGGGACGTAGCGCGAGGGGGAGGGGAGAGCGCCAGGGGCGGGGCCGCGGGCCGGGACCTGTTGAACGCAGGTATCGTTCGCTGGCCGCGCTCCCTCGGGACCGAGGCGACTGCGCATGCTCGCCGGCGGCGCTGGGCCGGGAGCCGAGCGCCCGTGACGAACCTAGTCCAGGCTTGCTGTGGTTGCGGTGGCTGCGATGGCGATGTGAGTGGGCCCCGGGCGGGATGGTGCTGACCTGGGGAAGGACGCCTTCCAGCCGGACGCAGAACTCCTCCACCGCACAGGCGCGAGCCGAGGCCGCGCGGCTTGAGAGGTGAGCCCCTCACTGCCCCGCGCGACTTCCGACCCTGCGACCCGGTTCGGGTCCCTCTGCCCCGGGGCCGGACAGGAAGCGGCCTCGTCGTCTGGTCCGACTCCCCTGCCCTGGCCTC